ACTGCTAAAATGTATACACATACCACATTTTCATTATTTACTGGCCAGTTGATGGTCATTTAGGTTGATTCCACCTCTTTGCAATTGTGGATTGTGCTGCAATGAACACTTGAGTGCAGGTGTCTCTTTTGAATATTGATCTCTGTTCCTTTGGGTAGATACCAAGTAGTGGGATTGATGGATTGAAATCATCAAAAGAAGAATCAGCAGCTATTGCCAATGTCCATTTACCTGCCAGTCCTCTGAAAGGAACACAGAAACAACTAATACACAGTGTATACTTGGTCTTTCTACATTATTTTATGAAAATAAAATACACTACTTGGGAGGTAGACATGGTCCTAGTTTTGAATTTGGAGCCATGCTCTATTGTCCTAATATATAGACATATTCTGGTACTCTTGATAGTACTGTATAAAAATCTTCTTCTAGCCAGGCTCGGTGGCTCAGCCTGTAATCCCACGCCTTTGGGAGGCTGAGGTGAGTAGATTGCCTGAGCCCGCGGGTTCCAGACCCGCCTGGGCAGGCGAGACCTCATCTCTACAATAAATCAAAAAATTAGCCGGGCGTGATAGCACGTGCCTGTAATTCCGGCTACTTGGAAGGCTGAGGCGAAAGGATTGCCGGAGCCCAGCAGGTTCTGTAGTTCCAGCTACTTGGAAGGCTGAGGCGGAAGGATCACCTGAGCCCAGCAGGTCGAGACTGCGGTGGCCGGGAGCGGCCACTGCACTCCAGTCTGGGCGACAGAGTGAAACTCCAACTCAAAAAAAAAAAAACAAAAAACAAAAAAGAAAGAAAATCTTCTGTTTTGGTAAATTGTATTTAGTGGTAGTCAATGGCTCCTAATAGCAAAGGGTAAGACACATTGCATGGCAAACCACGTATAGTTTGTCCATAATAAAATGCATGTCCAAACTTAAATACATATTTGTATATTTTTTAAATTTGGAAATAAATTGTATATATTTGGGGGAAATATCAAGAAATTATATTTTGCGATAACTTCTAGGCACGCATATCTCTCGTTGTTACTCGTCATTATTATTTTTTTTAATTCTCAGGTGCTATTTATCGAAATGATGTCTTTCCAAGAGTTCTCTGAGGTTCTTGCCCTGCTGTAGAATAAGCAGGAATTACCAGAGAATTCTGTGATGTCTTCTGGTAAGAGACACCCAGCTTTCCTGGCAGAAATCTCCCAGGCTCTACTACTGGTCTCCCTCTTGTGAGCAATGAAGAGCAGACTCCAATTACTACAGAGACTCCTTCTGCTAAACTGTGCATCAGAGAGCAAGGAGAGCTATTTCCTCCCAGATATGGGAGGCTGCCATCTCGTTCTGAGTGTGAATTCCTTTCACACTGAGGTACGGTGTTTGGCCAAGAGAAGAAGGAAAGTAAATGCTAAAAGCACAGCAGTGTTCAGCACTCTGGATGTAGTCCCATTATCCCTCTGGGTCCCGGGAGTACGAAGTGAAGAAGAGAATAGAAGAAGAATGAATCGGTTAAAGACACAGACTTTAGAAATCCACCACCCCCCCCATGCACAGGGTCTAACTCTAGGCAGGTCTCCGCTGCGCTCTGTTAAATGTCTTCTCCTTCAAGATGAATCGAACCTAGGCAGGGAGTAGAGGAATTTTGGAGTCCTCACAGCTGCTCAAATGGCAGAACTGAGAGTCTATGATTGCCTTTCCCTCCTGGCCTAAAATAAGTCGTTCGCCTGCCTAAGAAAAACACTAACTTCAGAGACAATTCTCTGAGAACGCTATGGTGGCAACTTGGATGGCAGTTTTGAAATCCATAATTGGTTTATGTTTAAGTTTTTACCTTAAAGATATGCTATTTATTCTCACAGATTACAATAGAGAGAAATGTATGTTTATTTTTTTACGAATGTTTTAAAATGCAATATGTATACCACTTGGGATAGAAAAGCAAGCTAGAATTATTTTTTAACGTATTAATATTTCCATTCAATTCGAGGCATTTGCTATGTACCTATTATGTACCATAAACAATGTCAGGTGCTACCAGGACGCCAATAAGAAAATAACTTAATCCTTGTCTCACATGAATTTTTAGTGTAACAGAAGGTATATCTGTCTCTTATTGACACAGTAATGTTGTGTAACAAATCATCTTCAGACTCCGTGGCTTTAAAGAATTCGTTATTTTGGTTGGGCTCGTTGGCTCAGCCTGTAATCCCAGTACTTTGGGAGGCCGAAGCGAATGGATTGCCTGAGCCCATGGGTTCAAGACCTGCCCAGGCAGCTTGGTGAGACCTCGTCTCTACAATAAATCAAAAATTAGCAGGCTACTTGGAAGGCTGAGGCGGAAGGATCACTGGAGCCCAACAGGTCGAGGCTGCAGTGGCCGGGAGCGTGCCACTGCACTCCAGTCTGGGTGACAGAGTGAGACTCCAACTAAAAAAAAAAAAAAAAAAAGTTCATTATTTTAGCTCAAGCATCTGTGGTTCATCTGGGCATAGGTTGAACAAGCTGACCTTGGCAGAGCTTAGTTGTAAGCTATGGGTTGAAGTCAGTTTTGTCTGCTTCATCAGTCTTTCATCGTCCTAATAGCCAGGGGCTAGTCGGCATGTTCTTCTCATGGCGGTGGTAGAAGATAAAGAGGTCAAGCCAATTGCACAAATGACTTTTCTCTAATGTTCACTGGCCAAAGCAAGCCACATGGCCAAGCCCAACATCACCAGACTGAGAAAATATACTCTGCCAAGAAGAACTGCAAAGTCACAAGACAAAGAATATGAGGACAGAGGAAGGGATGCAAAACTGAGAAAAATAATACAATCAACCATATTAGGGGGGAAAATATCACAAGTGCTTGTGTAACAAAGGGTGGTAGTTTCACAAAGGAAGGGATCATGTCTCAAAGACACCCAGAAAACATTCTTAGAGGAGGTGGCATTTGTAGTCACTCAAGAAAGGTATTTCAGGAAGCTGTCATGGGAGGTTAGGGCCAGGGGATAATTCCGAGATGCCCCATGAGCAAAGTGTGGACATATGTAAGCCATTTTCAGTGTTAGGTTATAAGGAAGTAAATGAAAAGAAAAATTACAGCAGTAGAAAAACTAGATCTGTGAAAAACCTACAAGTAGACATTTCATAGAGATGCTCAGATCTCACAAATTCAGGTGGTGCATGTTTTTTATTGCTGGAAGTTCATTGAAAAGACTGTATGAGTGTTAATTTCTTGGATATGAAATGTGCTCAAGGATAGAGCTTTTGTTTAAATCTTCACAGCTATAATTAGAGTTGGAAGCAACTTAGAAAAATTGTCTAGCCAACTTATTTTAAAGGTGAATAAATTTGTATTTTGGAAATAAATTTATCTAAATCTATATTATAGATAGAGATCGTTTTTTATATATAGTTACATATAAGTTAAAGTATAGTCATCTTTCTTCATATAACTATCGATATTAGATATACAGACAGTCCTTGATTTACAATGATTTGACTATGATTGTTCAACTGTACATCGGTACAAAAGTGATACCCATTCAGTAGAAACCATGCTTTGAGTATCCATACACCATTCTAAACAAGTTTTCACTTTTAATATAGTATTCAGTAGGTCACATGAGATATTCAACACTTTATTATAAAATCGACTTTGTGTTAGATGATTTTGCCCAACTGTAGACTAATGTAAGCATTCTGAGGACCTTTATGGTAGACTAGGCTAAGCTATGATGTTTGGTAGATTAGATATATTAAATGCAGTTTTTACTCACAGTGTCTTCAACTTATGTTGGATCCATCAGGATGCAACCTCATCGTAAGTCAAGGAGCATCTGTATATGTGTGTGGTATATGTATGTGTGTATATGTGTAAAACATATAAAATGCACAAATGTATTGAGAGAGAAATTAAATTTCTTCCTATTTTTATCCAAAATATATATAATGTATACATGTATTTAGAAAGACTAAAATCTTTCATATGTATGTTTGTACGTGTGTGTGTGTGTGTGTGTGTGTGTGTGTGTGTGTGTGTGTGTAGGGGAGGGGGCATATTTCTTAAAGTGGTATTCTGAAGAATTCTTAATCCCTTTAAAACATTTTAAAACTGTGCCCTTATCACGTGAGCTTTCTGGCTCCAAGGAACAGAATATGCCATACATTACTCAAATGCAAAGAGTAGGTTGTTAATAAGAAGAAAAATATAAATATTTTCTCAGTTATTCAAGGAAGGTGAATACCATCTGAGAAGTCTGACCTAGCAGAGGAAGTAGGATGGCCCCCCCTGGGGCACTGTAATGTCATCACTAAAAGGCAAGTTAGCATAAAAAGGGAGTGAATGTCAGGGGACGTGGAGGACAAAGACAGCACGTGTTTTCTACACCCACTCACTCATCTTCCACTCCTGAAACGGGCACCCCTCATTTTTAAATGCAGTATAATCATCCTCCCAATCAAAATATAATTAGGAAAGCACATCAGTTTGTGTATCTCATCTATGAGCTTTCTCCCCGGAATAGAAACAATGCAACTTTGAAGTTGTGCCCTTTAGACGATCACTCGTTGTGTAGACTGGAGGTCAGCAAGCTATGGCCCAATCGGATTGTTCCCTGGTCTGGACAGGGACTTGTCCAGCTGGTCTGCTTTTGTAAAACAAGTTTCATTGAAACAGCCACGCCCGTTTGTTTACATATCGTTTATGGCAGCTTTTGCACCACCGTGGCAGGGTTGAGTCACTGCAAGGGAGACAGAGCCCATATGGCCCGCAAAGCCTCCAAGATTTAATATCTGGCCTTTTACAATGTAGTTCGCCCTCGCCCGACGCAGACCATGGGGGATTGGCAGCTTTCTGGAATGGGAGACTCTTGCGTTGCTTCTGCCTCTGGGGAAGGCCTCCCCGGTAGTCTGCCCAGGAAGGATGTCATTGGAATAAGAGTGGTGCCCCCCTGAATGCCTTCTCGGCTTCCACCCCAGGGCACTCCCAAGGCCATCATCCTTAACCCTTTGTTCTCTGTCCCTCACCAGACTCCGACCTGAGCATGCGCACACTGAGCACGCCCAGCCCGGCCCTGATATGTCCACCGAACCTGCCAGGGTTTCAGAATGGAAGGGGATCGTCCACCTCCTCGTCCTCCATCACCGGGGAGACGGTGGCCATGGTGCACTCCCCGCCCCCGACCCGCCTCACGCACCCTCTCATCCGGCTCGCCTCCAGACCCCAGAAAGAGCAGGCCAGCATCGACCGGCTCCCGGACCACTCCATGGTGCAGATCTTCTCCTTCCTGCCCACCAACCAGCTGTGCCGCTGCGCCCGCGTGTGTCGCCGCTGGTACAACCTGGCCTGGGACCCGCGCCTCTGGAGGACTATCCGCCTGACGGGCGAGACCATCAACGTGGACCGCGCCCTCAAGGTGCTCACCCGCAGACTCTGCCAGGACACCCCCAACGTGTGTCTCATGCTGGAAACCGTCACCGTCAGTGGCTGCAGGCGGCTCACAGACCGAGGGCTTTACACCATCGCCCAGTGCTGCCCCGAGCTGAGGCGTCTGGAAGTCTCGGGCTGTTACAACATCTCCAACGAGGCTGTCTTTGACGTGGTGTCCCTCTGCCCCAACCTGGAGCACCTGGACGTGTCAGGTAAATGGAAGCTGACCCCCCAGCCATGGGCCTTCCCAATGCACCATCCCAAAACAGTACTGGCATTGCCACCACCAGAGAGGGTCAACTCTTCTTGGACGCCAGGAGATGGGGGGGCTGGTAGGCAAGCTGCTTTTTGCACAAAAATTGTCCCTTTGTAATCCTGACCCTGGAGGCCATAGAAAGCCGTTCACTGAATAATGTCCACTGCAACAAGTGACACTGGGCACTGCAAAAGGGGGTGGGAGAAGGAGGGAGGGAGGATAAGGGTCACACAGCTGTCTATTGGGTACCATGTCCACTGCCAGAGGGTAGAGGGCTCGCTAGATGACCAAACCTTGCCTGCACACAATTTACTTATGTATCAAATCCTCACATGTACCCCATAACTCTAAAATAAAAAATAATACTGTTAATGTCCACTTAGGGGAGTTATTCTAGCACCTTTTGCCTGGCAGTTCGGATGAGTATAACTTTTCAATGTGTCTTTACTCTCCGTAACTCTCACAGTTATTTCGGAGTAACCACAGATGTTAGGAGACAAGTGTCTAATTGGAGATCAATAGGATCCAAAAGGCAAATCCAAGCACCATTCATTTGGAAATTACCCTGATGTCACCAGGTTATTGGTCCCTGGAGCCTGAGATCTATGTCCGAGCTGTGACAATGACTTTGTGTGTTTCTGTGCTGTCAGCCTGACCGTGACCACTGTGGGTGATAAAACACTCTGCTGTGGGCTGTGCTCACAATCACTCACCATGTTGTAGACATTGGGGAAAACGCACTGTAGAGAAGTGTCTCCTTAGATTTCACCCCCACTTTCCTCACCTGTGAGTTAACTTTTCATCTTTTCTTAAGCAAAATTCCCAACTACATGGGGCAAAGGCAAGGTCCATTGAATCAAACATGACTACTTTTCTTGAAAACCTCTCTTAGGCAGGAAGAATTAAAGCCTACACTCAACTTAGGCGCCAGACGTGGACCCGACAGGACTAACAGCCTTTCTTTATCTCATCTGCTGCCTGAAATGTGTAAGATGCATCAGGGACTTAAAAAAATGAATAGTGGGAGCCACAGTCTCAGAGATCATTAGGGAGGGGTCAAGAAGTATAAAAACCACTGTGGTGGGCGAATAAATAGAATATGGGATTTATAAGCATCTGAGGCAAATGATGCCCTTCATCCAAAAAATCAGAGGTAAAGCTGGCTTTCTCAGCTTGCTCTCCCTCTTGAAAGCTGACATCTGAAAATATTTCAGATGACAGCCCATTATTTTTTGCATATTCTTTCCCTTGCTGGAAAGCAACTTGCTTGCTGTTCCTCTACTTCAGCTGGCTTCAGGACAAAACCATAGTAACCATATGTTCAGTTAGTCATGAGTAGCCGTTGGCATAAAGAAGCAGGAAACCAGGAGGTTTTCTTACATTTTTTCCCCCCAAGGAATTCTGGAAAGAGAGAGCATTGTGATGTGGTGGAAACAAGTTTCAAAACTTCGTGATTTGAGACAATTTACAGCTTTTTAAGATGTGTTTCCTCTTCCGTGTAAAGAAAAAAAAAGAGCAAAAGAACTGTGTTATTTAACATTCTAAGAGTTTGAGTATTTTATAAACACCTCATTGTATTTTATTTTCTCAGACCAGGAAATGATTCATTTTTGAAATTCCTACCTCTGTTAAAGGGGCTTCACATACATCCTTAATACAGACTGCAAGTAGTTGTACCCTCTCTTTGGGGTCCTTTTGTAATTCAGAAATGCAGACATCACTTTGGCTGCTTGGGGATGGAAATTCTTGGGCTTCTAGCCTGAGTGATCCTGCTTGGCCCCCTAGACTAGCCATTATTAAACCTTGATGTTGGTCCTCTGTATCAATCTGACAACCTTGCAGGCTCATATATATTTTATGTAGCTTCCTTGCATGTCTCCCAGTTATCTGTGTACACAGAGACTAAAATAAGAGGAATCTGTAGCTTACCAAGTTAAGAACACAGAATTCCAGATATGGTACAAATTTCAGGTAGATGGACCTGAATGGCTCAACAGGCCATAAGGATGGATTTGTCATCAGCATATACTAAGAGTGCCCTTCAGTTCTGAGGAAGTTGTTATGGATACAGAGAGGCCAGAGAGCTGCCAAAGTAGGCTTCACAGTGCCTGGTTCTTTTATTTTTACAGGTGGCCTCTGACAGTGGCTACCTTCTCAATGGCAATAAACTTGACTTTGAATGACTTACCACTGGTCTGAAACTTAACTCCCACAGAGGAGATAAGAATGCCTATTTCAGCTGGGCTCAGTGGCCCAGCCTGTAAACCCGCACCTTTGGGAGGCTGAGGTAAGTGGATTGCCTGAGCCTGCAGGTTCAAGACCCGCCTGGGCAGGCGAGATCTCATCTCTACAATAAAATAAAAACT